TGCCAACTTGTAATGGTATGAGAATGCCTTTGAATGTGTGTTGCTGGCTGTTTTAAAGTGCAGTGGATCAGTAGTTACATGAAAAAGGGCAGTGCACTAAATCTGTGGAGAGCTGGCATAGCAGTAGGTCATATATAAAAATTGCATGTCAAAAAACTTGCAATAGTAATTGTCACAGTAAGGGCTGGAATTAAACAGGGATTAAAATCATCAAAGGAAAGGGTTAGAGTTGTGCACAGAGCAGTATGATATTAAAGGCTTTAGATTTGCCTTGAAATGAATACTGTTTGCTGATGGGATGTATTTTACACCAACAGCCTCAGAGAAGCATTAGACAGGGAGTTGTGCTTCCGTGGCCACCATGGACACATTTTTCCGTCGTCATTTTAAGAGGAAGGAGGCAGGGCTTGCTGGGCCAGATGGGGCGGAGCCTGAGCCATGCCGAATCAGAAGGCCCAGTGTTGCTGTGCCAACTAGTCGAGCCCGCAGGCGTTCCAGTGTAGGCCTGCCCTCAGCCACACTGGCCCAGCGCAGGCGATCCAGCGTCCACCTGCAGTCACTGCCCCACGTTGCCTCCAGCCGAACAAGCAAAAGTGGCAGCGCAAGACGCCGTTCCAGTACTACCACCCCAGGGGCAAACCCACGCTTTGCCGTGCGTCGGAAGAAGGTCAGCAAGCTTCGAAACATTGACACTCATCTTCTTGGCCCTTCCATGCTGCTGGCCAGCCTTATTCAGATGACGGAAGAGGATGAGGAGGTTCGTGACCCGGCTGTTGGACAAGTGGAGTTCAAAGGGAATGCCCCCAAGTCCTGCATCTGCTCAGACCCTCTGCTTTCAGAAGGGGACAGTGACAGTGATAGCCTGAGCTCCACTGCTGACTCAGATGATGGTCAGTACTCAGAGCCATATGAAGACTGTCTTACAGAAGCAGATTCTTCAGAATGGGAGTTCAGAAACTCCTCTATTTTATGCCAGCGAGACTGTCTGCCTCTGGGAGTGGTCGTAGAGCGAGTCCAGGCCCACCCACTAATCCGTGTCCCACGCTGTCTCAGGAGAAACTCCTCCCACCTGGGACATCCTGAAAGTGGCCCACATGGTCGCTACTGTCGCAGCAGCCAGAGAAGGCGCCGTAGACGCATCTCTACCATCTCCAAGGCTGGCAGCCCTTGGCCAGGGAGAGGCCTACCGCTGCCCAGTCGCAGAAACTCCACCTGCTGGAAGACTCATGCCTCACTTGGCCCGCTAATGGGAGCCCATTATGACCCCAGACTGGAGTCATGGAGTGGGTTCCTCTCGTATGTAAAACTTTAATACTTTAATTCTGTCCAAATAACAGTCTCGATTTGTAACGTTATTGGTCAGAGCTAATCCCAGATTAAGCTGAAAGTCATGCTCCATCTTTTTAGGCTTTTTAATCTCATAATGTGCAGCTGTACACTATTTTTAAAAAGGAGGTTCTTTCTCAAAAGGTTAAAAATCATTTGAATGCTTAAAGATGCAGTAAGCGATTCTGCAGAATGATTGTTGACATTTTAACTCAGCAGCAGAACAAATGCACCCTTCCCTTCAGTGGTCCTTCAGACACTCCACCCCCCAAATTTATTGACCATCGTTGTCAAGGCAAACAACACTGTGTTAGAAAACTTGTTTTTTTTATCTTTGTGGTCATATAACCATTCGCAAAAATGTGCAGAAAAATACCCTGATATAACATTAGAAAGAACAATGACACAGCAAGTAATGTAACTAATGTTAGTTAGGTTGTGGGTTAGCAAACAAATACAATTGCTGCCATGAAACTAATCAGTTGGAATTAGCTATTACAGCAAATGGGACACAACTAGACTGACCTGTAGGTTCTGTGAAACAGCCAAAATAAGTAATGTTGCCCACCTTTCAAGCCGAAACAAAGCAACCTTCTCATCCCTTTTCATGCCTTTCAACTCTTGGTGAAGCTGAAGTTGACTTCTTTTTCTCCAGCTTCTTGTTTGAATTTTCCCATTCTACCTTAAATGGTCCAGCAGTTACATTCTGGCGCCTCAGACAGTTACATTCTGTGCTTCTACGTTCTGTGAATGTGACTGCTATGAGGTGGAACGAGAAAGTACAAACAAAAAGCCAGCGAATAGGAAGCTGACTTCAGCCCCGTCAACTCTTGACAATGCTTCAGTAATATTAACACATCTTTTCGCCCTAGCTTGATCTAAGAACTTCTTATTTAGTCTTTGCTCTTCAGATAGTCTCCTCTTTCTTCTTTTTGACAATGCGTGGAGTTCAGCATGAAGCCCCTCCCCTTCCCACTGTCCTGTGCACGAGCAGGAATGCCCCCTGTTGCTGTTGGTTGGAATAGTGTTATTGTTCAGAAATCAGTTTCTTTGTTTGTTTCCCATTTACAGAGCCTGGTCTGTGTATGAACAGCAGATTTTTTCCCAACTCACACACAAAAAGAACAGCTAGTGGTCTTTGAGGACATATTCCCTCAGTTTGACAAAATATAGCATGGAAAAGGGTTCCAACGTTTTTGCAAGTCATATAACCTTTTTTGTATTACATATAAACAGTTTTGCTTAGAACCTCTGGTTTAGAAACATTCACCATCCCTGATTTATCCTAAATGTTTATGCCCTTACATTAAAAGGCCTATATCAGATAAAACCCTATTTTCATTGTATTCATTGAAATGAAAGAGTTTAATGTAGTATGCAAACACTGTTAAAGTTTCAAATTTGAATTCACAGTTTCTGTGTTGTGATGAATTCCAGCATATTTACATACATTCGTACGAAAACAGTTTTCGTGCCCCTGGTCAAATTACATGTTCTGTTTTTCTAAAAATAGGAAAAAAAATTCTCTACAGAGAACACACTTTTGCACAGTTTAATACAGAATTCAATACACAATTTATTTATTTAATGTATTGGGGAAAAAACACATTTTATGTCTTGTCTTTTCCAATATGTAAAAACACAGCAAATACATACAAATTGTGCATTAGAATTTGTTGAAAAATTACATATGTACGTTTGCTCAATTAACAAAGCATGTGATTTGGCCAGGGTTTTTTTAAACTGACATACGACTGTATATACACCGGTTCAATCTACAGCAAATTAGCCACGTCCACTTATGTTGAAATTATAAGGAGTGTTTCAGCCTGGACTACTTTTTGATCGAGACACAATAGAGAGCAGCCCCTCAGAATATAGATCATTTCCAAATATTGATCTGATCATGTAATAATGAATTTTCGGTACATAAACCTACAAATGTTATAAGTGGACCTCATCGGGAAGCAATACAAAAAGAAAAAATTGTAGGATGTGGGCTCTTCAAAGTATGTTTCAACGGTGGGTACTACCTTGCAAAGTTCAATGATTTGGGTCCCCAAATCTCTGTTCAAATGAATCACCTGTTTTAGCCCTTAGTCAGGAAGGACTCTCACCGTGATCAAAGGGGAGCAGTTTTACCCCTGACGGTTTCTTCGTGTTAGAGCCTGCAATTATTAGCCTTCAGAACATTTAGGCAGAAAATCTGAGCAGAGTGATGGGGGGTGTCTCTACATAAGGGTTTTTTTCCTCTTTTCTTTCTCTGTGTTGACCTTCTAATTCCCTGTCCTGTGGATCTGAGCTCCATGGCACTAGCTCATTAGTGGAGCGGGTACTGTAGCGCAGCGACGTGACTAATCAGTGCCACTGATCACCCAGTGGGCCGCCCTCCCTTAGGTTGCTAAGCGTCACTCATTTGCACTGCAGGGATTGGACACAAAGGTCACAGTGAGCACGGTCTTGATTAACACAGGAAGCAAAACCACATCTCAACCTCCCTCATCCTAAGCTTACCTCAGCTTACCAACGGTGTCAAATTCAGATGAGCTCACACAATGACTGCTGCTTTGCACAGCATTTGTGTGAGAGATATGGGTGTGTCGTGTTGGGGCACAGAAGAAACTAGACCGACCTACTTGTCACTTTCCTGCACATTGTGCTTTTTGTCCTGACAGGACAGATATACAGATAGATAAGGACAGCAGGCCATGACTGGTCAATAGATTGTTGTGATTGTTAAAGGGATGTGGTGTGCTTTTTTATGCACAGATAGCAGTGCATTTTGGTTAGAACAAAATACTTGGGGTAAAAAAGCCCAGATATCTGTAAATCGTGTGCTGGAGTGCTCCTTGGAGGTGGAGAGTGAAAATAGATTTGATTGATACAAGCATAAAACAGAGGCAACTGAAAGAGGCCCCTGGCCCGCTCCTAGAGAATGACCGCAAGGAATCCTGATTGAAAGGCTACTTTCTAACTCAGATTATTGCATTAGAGAAAGTTAAAATCTAACTGCTACAAATTGTCACAAAGGACATCTCTCACATGGCCCCTCATAGACATTACATACAGACTCAAATATATACTAGCTAATATTTCGATGCTGTCGGAACAAAAGCACTTATCTCCACTTTCGTCATTTTTCGCTTTTTGATCATTTGAAAATGCCTGTTGCCCTTCACATACTCTGTAAATTTCATGATGAATGGACCAAAAGAAATGGCCCAAAATTAATTGGAAAAAAATCTGGTTCCACTGACTATTAAAAGTAAAAATGTTTTTTCTTTCTCCTGTAAAGCATATATACACAGATAATAGCAATCACCTGGAAAACCATAGCAACAACCTAGCAACACCTTAGCAACCACCTGGAATGCAGTAACAACAGCCTAGCAATACTGTAGCAAACACCTGGGATAACATAGCACCAGCTTAGCAATAGTTTAGTATTCGCGTTACAACTATATCACAACTTGCAGTGTCTGCTGTTCATATTTGTCGTGAATGTGTCTCGACCTTATCTGTGTGCATTTGTGTGTCTGATGTATGCAAGTATGTTCTTTTCCTCTGGCTGGTGCTCTTTAGTATTTGAGTGTTGTGTTGAATATGAGCAGCTGAAGTTCTAATATAAGTACGTTTATTAGTCCATCAGCATGTGTGCATTTGTTTTGTTTCAGGAAAGCTATTGCAAAGTCTGGTGTTCAGCAGCTGACAGCCCAGTCCAATGCCACAATGCCGGCCAAGTGTGAAGCTATCAGAGAGATCTCTCAGACAGTCGACTGGACTGTGAGTTCCTCCAAACTTTTACCAAACTTAAATTTGCATGCTACAGTGGCTAATGAGGGAAGAGCATCAGTTCTGCATTCACTTTCTCTTAATTGCATCATTGTGATTGGCTACTAGCAGTTTTGTTACAGCTATAATCAAGTTTGACTACTGCATGTTACTGAAAACAAATGAACCACTATTACACTTAACCTACATTTGAAAAGTTTGGAATCAGTGTTTTCAATAAAATAAATTTAATTGCAGAAAAGTATATAAAATGGTTGAAATATGTTAGTCCAGTCCAACATGAAAGGTTTTAAGTTATTAGTAGGAAGCTGAAAAAAATGTTGTATTAAAACATTTTAGATGTATTTAGAATAATGAACAGAGTTGTAGATGATTCTGAAATGTCTCAGCATTAAGAAAGAGTTTATCAAAAATTAAATTTAATGTTATAAATTTAATATGCAGAATTACTGATTTTTCAAAGGTGAATATCATATGTCAAAGCAGAAAAGCTGATGAAAATTACTGTAAACAGAGCTACAGTGGATGATTTATCATTTTTATTATATCTACCTTTTAGGTGTTGATCTAGTTTACAATTCTTTCATTTTATTGTTACATTTTATTGTTATTTTTGTATATATTAAGGTATTATTGTAGACAATATAAGAAAAGTAATTCATATGACAAGTAATTCAGATGTTTTAATAGTAGTGTACATACAGATTTAAAGGGCCCATATCCTACATTTTTCTTGTATTAAATTTTCCAACCACTCTTTATCCCTTAGAATCAAACAGCCTGTTTTTGTTACGGTATCTTTAAAATTGACCTATGTAAATGCAGTCTGTTCTGATTGGCTGTACTGTATTGTGCTTCATTCAAAAAAGCAGTCCAGACTAAAACACTCTTTCAGAGTGAATGCGTGAAGCTAAACTGCTATAAGCTGAACAGGTGGATAAATAAAAATGCATTGGCTTTTGCAACATTACGAAAACAGTGAATTCAGAATGGGTTGTTTTTGCAGTTTGGTTTTCATATATAGACTGTGTTGAGTGGAGAGTGAGTGGTTGTTTGGTTATTTGGAAAATGTTCCGAGTGTCTAGAGTGATAAGAAGCCATTTGATTGCTTTTTATCTTAAATCATGATTTTTATTCAAATACAGACATGTTTATTGAAGGTTTGCCAACTTGGCAAAGCTAGTATTGCTGATAAATATAGTAGCAGATTTGTTCCAGGTTTCCTCTTGCCTTACTGTACCCCACAGGAGAATGCTCAGTTTGGACAGCACGTCTGGTTTGAGACCAGTCTTTCGGGAGATTTCTGCTATGTTGGAGAGGTTTACTGCTTTGCCAAATCACTGGTGAGCACATATGCTGCTCTTCCTCTCTTTTTTTTACTTTTTCTTACCCTTCCATCTGTGCGATCAGGCAGAGAATTGCTAATAAGTAACATCACCAAAAGGTGATGTTATTTTTAAAAAGGCAGGCTAATCTGAATTTGGAAGTTCAAATGAATCTGTCAGTCTCAGTTGTACACCATACTGTGTCTGTATGGAAACTTGTGTAAGAGCTCCTACCTCTGTTGAAACTGTGTAAGCACAGGCAAGTGTATGTCACTGTGCTATCTGTAACTATTTCTTTTTTCTCATCACCAGCAAAAATCGCTGCCTCGCTATAAATGTGCTGCCTGCAAAATAGCTGTCCATACAACATGCATGGAGCAGTTAGAAAAGGTAAAAGCTTAAAATAGAGGTGGGTGACATGACAAAAATATAATGTTGCGATCCTTAAAAAATGGACGTCACAATATTTATTTTTTTCAGACATCTGATCAGTTGGAACAGAGATAAAAGAAACAGTCGTGCTACGTTTTTTAAAATACTGTCAAAAACTATGAATGCAGTGATTTTTTTGTTCAATATTTCACATACCATTTTGCTCTAAATTCAGTTAAATGGGACCAATTTTGCTGATTTTTGTAATAATAGACAGTTGGTCAGTGTTCTACAAGTACTGACTATCACAATATGTTCAGAAAAGCATATTGTATTACATTGTGACATAATTTATCACAATCGAAAAATATTGTCATATTGCCCAGCCCTAGCTTTAAAGAGTGGAATAGACAGCTCCTATTTGATCGCCCTTACTGACGTAGAGTGTATTATTGTTCTGAGCTGTGTTTTTTGTTTGCAGATCAATTTTAAATGTAAGCCATCATACAGGGAACCAGGGACCAGAAATGTGCGAGAGGTGAGACAGTTCCCTATTAAACTGCAATTATGTATATTGAAGTTGACAAGGTTTCTCTGAGATTTGCTTTCTGACAAGAATATAGTTACGTTCGTTTGTTTTTTTTCCTCAGACTTGTGCTGTAAGGCATCACTGGGTTCACAGGAGACGGCAGGATGGGAAATGCAGACAGTGCGGAAAGGTAGATTACAGACAATCTGCTCATCTTGGTGAAAGTGACTGTTAGAACAGCTGCAGTGTTGCAGTGATGCCAGTGTGTTAGTCTTCATAGTTCAGTTTTCGGTGGAGTCAGAGAACGTTTGTTGTGATTTTATTACTTTTCTGTTTTGATCCTACCATCCAAAAGTTTGCAAAGTATTTAGTAAAATAAAACTAATTTAATTGTAGAAGAGTTAATAAAATAATTCTAATATATTAGTCCTGTGCGGCGTTTTTTTAGATGTATTCCGAATAACAAACAGAGTTGTAGATGATTCTGAAATGTCTCAGAAAGCTGAATAACCTCAAGAATGAAGTTCATTATTAATTTAATATCCAGAGTGCCTGTTTTTTCAAAAGTGAACTTCAGATCTTGAAGTAGAAAACTTGACAAAAATGACTGTAAACAAAGATAGAGTTTATGATTTATGATTTTTATTCCTTCTCACCCCAAATACCTTTGGTGTCCAATTATTAAATCATATTATTGTTATAATTTATTATTATTTTTGTTTATATTAAGTAATTATTGTATAAGACTTCTTGTTAATTTGACAAGTGATTCCAGACTTTTTAATAGTTCTAGACTAATTTAATATTTATGTGGTTTTATATACCCAAAACCCAAAGCAGTCATGATATGTACATATAAATGAATCCTTAGAAAATTAGAAAACTGAACTGATGCATGCTACATCAGACATACAGTAGTGTGTAAAGTTTTGAGCTCCTGAGAAAATCGTATCTAAAAAATCAATTTATCTGGATAGTAAGTGTTTATTTGCTCATGAAAACACTAATACTAAAAAATATTATATACAAGTACTATAAATACAGTAAGTATTTTTAGAGATGTCAGTGCATTCACTTAACTATTTCCAATCATCTCCACATGGCAGTGTGATGTTAATTGTAGGTATCATCCAGTTCCTGTTTTGGCTAAACAGCACTTCATTAATTTCAAATCAATCATGCTGGTTCTGGATTTGCACAAATCTGTGTGATGGCTAGAAGCATGAAAGAGAAATGTTTAGCCAAAATTTTGTTCTTCAGATTAGCTAACAATATTATTGATTGGTTGAAATAGTGTATTGATTGATTAAGGAACTTATGCTTGGAGCTTGAAGGCCCATTCCTCTCTTCTTTTTGAACTGTGGATCAGGGAGGGGATGCAGTGGTGGTGGGACTGAGAAAAGTATGTCAAGGAAAATGGAAGGTAGAGATGGGATTTTATAGGGTGTTGGATTGGAAGAAGGAGGGTTTTGGAGCAGTTATTCCATGCTTCCACATAGTGGTTTTACAAGCAGAAACACGCTTATTGCCCAGATAAATGGTTCTAACATCTTAAAGGTTTTGCGCAGTGTTCTTTACTTTATTGAGCTAAGACTTTTGCGCAGTACTGTATATGGGTCATTCTACCGAATCAGTTCAAAGTCGGAGTTGAAAACGCACTTCAGGCTTTTAAAGGACTTGGACTTTGCTTTGATTCAGCTTATGCGTTAATTATGTTTACTTTATTAAAATAAATGACTGAATATTTAATTTTTTTTACCACTAAAACATTAATAACATGAAACTTTACCAAAAGTTTTAGTATTGACTGTTTTAGCTAAGTTTGAGCATGACTCAAAATTGCTAGCCAGTACATGACTAGCAAACACAGCTTTGAACAGTTGTACACACATAAAATCATAGTATTTTTTATCAAAACACAAAAATAAGATTTTTCATTAAAACACAAAACACTTAATTGGAGAAAATCTGAATGTTACATGCTGATTTTCAGACTTCACATTTACTTTTAAACAGTGAGGACTAACTGCTCACAATGTGGCCACGAGGGACAGGAATGCAGTCTCACTTCTATAATAAATGATAATAAGGCTCCACCTATGGACTAAAATTCTTTGTGTTTCAGTAGTGACATGAAATATGGAACAGCATTTTTTAATAAACTCATATCTAAATATGTCAACTTATCTTTAAAAGAAACCTTAAACATTGAAGAAAAATACAAACACTTTAAAGTATTATTTTCAGAATTTGCAATTTTGGGGTTAGGGGTTTTGTGTATATTTGGCTTATTACTGTCACAATTAATTTCTTGGGTTTCAATAGATCAAAACATAATTCTTGTAGATTTTTAGGTCTGAATACTTCATTGTTTTTTTTTAATATTTTTTTTTATTATTGTGGGTCTGCAGTTTGAACTAATGTAGTAGAACAGTCCACATCTTACTCTTCTTCTCTTAACCACTCTTTTCCTCAGGGTTTTCAGCAGAAGTTCTCCTTCCACAGTAAAGACATAGTGGCTATCAGTTGCTCTTGGTGTAAACAGGCGGTGAGTGACCTAACAGTATTCCCTAGAGTTTCTTTTGTTTTGGCCTATTCTGAAAACACTGTATTTGGTCACTGACTGTGAGTTGATGGGTTTGTGTTCGGTTTGCAGTACCACAATAAAGTGACATGCTTCATGCTGCAGCAGATAGGGGAGACGTGCTCTCTTGGGGCTCATGCTGCTGTTATAGTGCCTCCTACCTGGATCATCCGAGTCCGCAGACAGCAGGTGCATGCTCACCCACCTCTCTCCTCAAGGCCTATTTATACCGCCTGCATCTCATTTTGTGTTGGTCTACTTTTGTTAGTCCGTTTAGAACAATTTAGTCAACTTTGAATTTATATAACAGGCTGTGTGCCATAGACTTTCAGTACATATTTAGCTGTGTTTGACGTAACTAGGCATCAGATGTTTACAGACTGAGAGGCCAGTGCTATTCTCAGTTAAACCCACTTAGACCTTTCAGAACATGAACTGACTCGGAAATGCAGGGTCAGAGACATTTACAGCCCAGGGAAAGGCTAGAAAGGCATTGTTCTTGGTTTACTGCTCTTGGAAAGGCATTTCAAAGCTGCTTTAAACTCTGCTCCATCCAGGCATCACTAAAGTCGAGTAAAAAAAGGAAGAAGGCCTCTCTGAAAAACAAGGCCAGCAAGAAAGGACCAGAGGTAACCCATTCAATAAAACACTTTATGTTCAATATAACAATGTGATAAACAAAGTGAGACGTGAATTCCAGTTCCAAAAATCAGACGTATTTGTTGAAATGTGCTCAGCTGCTGTGTGTTATGTAAGCCCTTGTTCTTGTAATCCTAAAGTGTAAATCTTTGTTCTTAATCCCTCAACAAGGATGGAAAATGGAAGCAGTTTATAGTGAAGCCAATTCCCTCCCAACTCATGAAGCCATTGCTTGTGTTTGTGAACCCAAAGAGTGGTGGAAATCAGGTCAGTATTTTCCTTTTATTTTAAATAAATTTTCTTGGCTTGCAAAATATTCATATAGGCATATGACAGTTCTTATCTCTGACTAAGCTGTACATTTGATTACATTACATTACATTTGATTTGTCTTTTTTATAAGGGAGCAAAAATTATCAGGTCTTTCATGTGGTACCTAAACCCACGACAAGTGTTTGATCTCACTCAGGGAGGGCCTAAAGAGGGGTAAGAACTGAAATATTATTTGTTCTCATGAAATTATCTTTATTTATGTATATTAATCATTATTTATCTTTATTAGGCATTGTTATCTTTTATTTCAGCTGTGAAACTGCTTTTTTCATGTTTTTGTTCTCTGTTTGTTATTAAGGCTAGAAATGTACCGCAAAGTGCCCAACTTGCGCATCCTAGTATGTGGGGGAGATGGAACGGTCAGTACAATTTGTGTTCATGCTCACCGTCTAGCACAGAAAGGCTTTCATGTTAAGACTGTGGCAGTGACGCTAATGCCATTAATAGTACTTTATGTAGTCTAAACAGAGCTACTGTTAGATGTCAAGTTAGATATTGAGTAAGTGAGATTGTGCAGATACGATAATGCATTTGCTGCTTGTTGAACGTGCAGGTTGGCTGGATCCTGTCCGTGCTGGACGAACTGCAGCTGAATCCCCAGCCTGCTGTAGCTGTCGTCCCTCTCGGCACAGGAAACGACCTGGCCAGAACACTCAACTGGGGAGGGGTGAGAGAAACCATAGTATTGTACCTCTGATACGTTCTTGAAATGATTTGTCACATATTTATCCCTATCATATTAATAATGTAATGTTTTATATGCAATAATAACTTAGAAAGTGTACAGTTAAATATTACATTCACTGTAATTACATTAAATAAATGTAATTCTGAACTTAAAGATATTTCAAGATTTTTGGGAACAGCTAGAAGTTAAAATTATAAATAATTTACTGAGATTTGATCACCACGCTTTCAATATTAACTTCAATGTACCTTCCTAGGTTTCTACTGGTTATTTGAAACCTGTGAAGTTGCTTATGACTAACATATTAGAACATTTCATTGGTTTAATATTTAATAATTCATTTTTGAATTATTGAAAACATTCATTCCAATCTTGAAAGGTAGTGTATGTTGCTTGTGACCATAATTAAAAGTCTTCAGCTCAGTCAGTTAGATGACAGTGCACAAGTGGCTTTGATTTATCTGTGTGACAGCAAATGTGCTGTTGGCTCCACATGTTTGTTCAGGGCTACACAGATGAGCCGGTGTCTAAAATCCTGTCTCATGTGGAGGATGGGAACATTGTGCAGCTTGACCGCTGGAACCTGACCGTGGAGCCCAACCCAGAGGCCACAGAGGAAGAGAAGGATGAACACCAGACAGACAAGGTCAGCTCAAACTACCAGCAGGAACCTCTTCACTCAGCTTCTCCACCACGATTTGGTTTCACAGGTCAAAATTGAAGTGAGCCGAAACTGTGGTGGTGAGCGTACGTTCTGCGGCTTGACTCTAAGAACTTGGATTGGTTGGTTCTTGAGTCGATATGAAATAGACAAAGGAAGTACAATTAAATGTACTGTGCAGCTGTGAAATAATTCATAATAGTACAGCACATGCTCACTTTTTGTCTTTATAAATTTAGCTTCCCATCGATGTCTTCAATAACTACTTCAGCTTGGGTTTTGATGCACATGTGACACTGGAATTCCACGAATCCCGAGGTACCTTCAAAGATTCGTTTTTTCATTTGCATGGTTTTTATTTGGGTAGCTAACATCTAAGCATCTTCTGAGATTTATTCTTCTGAGGTATATTATAATTTTCTTTCTTATCTGTTTCTCAGAGGCCAAACCTGAAAAATTCAACAGCCGCCTTCGGAACAAGATGTTTTATGCAGGGGTGAGTCTGCGCCCATGCCCCTGAGGTTTCCTGCTATGTGTTGCTTTTTGTATGTTACTTATCGTCTGACTTTGTTTTGTTCTAGACGGCGTTTTCTGACTTCCTTATGCGCAGCTCCAAAGATCTCTCTAAACACATCAGAGTGGTGGTGAGTAGTGGTCTTTTTCTCACATATTTACAACCTCCTTTTATAAATATTGATCATTTTGATTTGAATTCCTAATTTTTTTTAAAGCTAATTACTTAAGCTTGTGAGTCAGCATGTGATAAATGTAAGGTTTTAGGTAATGAAACAGATTTTTACAGTTAAAAAAAATTGCCTGTGACTCTTTTAAATGAATCCTTAATCTGTGTGTCTCTGTTTATTCTTCTGTTGTTTGATGTGTCCAGTGTGATGGAACAGACCTCACTAGTAAAGTTCAGGAACTGAAGCTGCAGTGTCTGCTCTTCCTTAACATTCCTAGGTAAAGGGCTCATGCTAGCTTTCTTGGCTAGTAAGCAATAGCTGGAGTGGTTTTCTAGATACCATTTTACAGTAAGATTACCCTTATAAAGGGTTTATAAATGGTTTAAAATGAGTTTTACTAATTAGGTCTTAAACGCCTTAAAAATTAATAAGCGGCTGTAACAGTGACCTGTTGCTTGCCAAATAGTGAGCCAACTTTTCTACTTTGTTAGACCTCATATCTTGCTGGTTACTGATCTCACCTTGTCTTTTTCTGTTTTATTTAGTAACATCTGAGTAGTGTAGTGGCCATATTATAGAAGGATATGCTGAGTGATGTGTGTTTGCACTTTGAAGGTACTGTGCAGGTACGACGCCGTGGGGTAACCCAAGTGACGACTTTGGGCCTCAGAGGCACGATGATGGCTGCATTGAAGTTATTGGATTCACCATGACTTCTCTGGTAAAATCACCTCCACATCCCTGCAAATGCTACATATCAGTCAGTAGTCACAGTGTGAACTGATGGGAATTAAAACTTTAAAAGAATACTTTGGCAAAAAAAACAAATCTGCTTCTTCTTATCCTGAATGTAGTCAGTCAACCAAGAACACGTGGTGTTATATAACATGTTTAATTCTTTTGTTTTGCACTGGAGCAATGAGACTACTGTAAAAAGTAACTATAGATTATGTAAACCACTTAACATTGTGCGAAGTGCACACCTAAATCATCCCAAATGTGCCTCAAACTGTCATATTTCAAAGTTAGCTCAAATACACTTGCTTATGTGGATCTTTTGGCTAATCAACTAAATTTTGGGGTAAAGGGAAAACGACTGGGGGATTTTTTTTTTTGGCTTATAGTATTTTACTTTAAAAGATGGAGTACATGGCTTTAAGTAAAACGATGTTGTGTGGTTGGTGTTCAGGCCACTCTGCAGGTGGGGGGTCATGGAGAGAGGTTGCATCAGTGCCGTGAAGTGACGCTCACCACCTTCAAGCCCATCCCTGTGCAGGTGGACGGCGAGCCCTGTAGACTGGCTCCCTCTATCATCCGCATCACCCTCAGGAATCAGGCCAACATGGTGCAGAAAACCAAGAGGAGGATCTCCCTCCCTCAGCTCAATGAGTGAGTGTCCTGTGCCTCGCAGAGAGAGAGAGAAATTCTGACCACCTTCTGTGTGTGTTGTTAAATACGGAGTAGGCAAAGTCATACATAGTATTGTTAAACTAGATATGCTTTATATTTTTTACTGTTCTGAAATTGTAATGTACACTCACAGAAGAAAAAGTACGAAACTGGGGTGATTCCCCTCACATCACTGGGGGTTACCCTCAAACATATATCAACACAGTCAATACCTTTAATTAGGGAACATAACTGTACCATATTCCATTGCAACTATATTTATTAAGTTACATTGACTTTGTACACAATGTATTGGCTTTTATTTTATTTTCCAGTTTAAAATGTTAAGGTTATGAAAAGGTACTAAGTAAACGTAGTGTACCTTTAAAAGTTATTTAAGGTCATTATTCAGTCTTTATGCTGATTGTAAAGTACAAACACAGCTCAAGTTACAAATTTCAACACTTATCAGAAAAACACATTCTCAGAAAAAAAAAACATTTTCAGGAACTGTTTTTTTCCCTCAAGGGTGCGTCTTTAGTAAGGGAACTTAACTTTACCGTATGCTAATGCAGTTCCTCGTTTGTTGTTTTAAACTACTGATTTGGTTCCAGGCTTTTTATTTTACTTTTTTATTTTAATAGAGTTATGAAAAGTTACAAACGTACATTTCCCCTGGGGAATGTAATGTTCATTGAACAGTAATTTAATACACACTGTTGGACCATTGTTGAGGTCCATTTACATTGTCTGTACATGTACAGGAGCTTTTTTTGACAGCGTATACAAACATAGTCCACTTGTCTGCTACAGTTTGGGTAACCCCTGGTCAAATGACATATTTTGTTGATTTTCTAAGTAAAAATAAGTTAACATAGAAAACACAGAGAAAACACTGCAGCACATTTTAATGCACAATCACTGTTTATTTGCTGGTTTTAAAATAATGGAGAAAAATAAAACTAAAAATGTGGCCTGTGAAAAATGGTATGGCACGTTATATATTCTATGTTTAATTTGTATCAATAAATTAAACTGGAATTGTGCACTAATGTGCAGAAAAACAGCATATTTGGGTGTGTTCACTGCAGAGGATTAACTTATTTTCACTTGACATTTGACCAGGGATGTTCAAACTTTTACACATAAGCATACATCCTCAACAGAAAGACTTAAATACAACTCAATAATCACTAATATACACACAGTACACAGAACGAGCTCACGTGTGTATTAACTTGTGTGTATTAAATTATAAAATTGTGGATAAATTATTTAAGTGTGTAGTACATGTTAATTGGTGTCTGGGAAGCTTTAGTAAATACTGTGTTGATCACTTTTCTGTGTGTGTGTTTGTGTGTGTGTGTGTGTGTGTGTGTGTGTGTGTGTGGTGCTAGTCAACAGCCCATCTCTGAACAGCTGCAGATCCAGGTGAGCCGAATCAGCATGCATGACTACGAAACTCTACACTATGACAAAGACAAGCTCAAGGAGGCCTGTGAGTGACACTGAGCTTTTTCATACTATATACAGAACATTATACATAATATATACTGCATACTACATCACTGTCTTCAAAAACACTTTCTTTTTTATCCTTTTTTGTCAGGCAGCCGTTTTTGTGAGTGAAAACTAATCAGAACAAATGTTTTTTTTCTCTGGTTTCTCAGCAATTCCTCTGGGCGTCATCACCGTCTCTGGAGACAGTGATTTGGAGACTTGTCGCCTACACATTGAGAAGCTGCATGAGGTAAATGTTCATAATGGTTACAATCAGGGTCTGAGTGGAACCGCCAGTCATAGATTTGCCTCCCATCACAGCATTTACTGTGCTATTACATAGTAATATACTATAGGTATATGCAAATGTTTGCATATGACTATCCATTGCAGGTTAGATTCACTATTAAGGATAGATGCTATTTCTTCTAAAGAACTGAACAAGGAAGAGGTCCTCTTTGTTTAAATGATTAAGGACAGTCATGTGGTGAAAGTCTCATATGATGCCAGTAATAAGTTGAACTTTTTTAGGTTAATGACAGGCACAGTGACTAATTACTGATGAGACTCCATTAAAGAGTGGCTAAGATAGGACTCGTTTTTGCTCAGTCTGTTTTCTTTTTCTCTTTTCAACAGGGGCGTGGTGTGAATTCAGACTCAGTGACCATACCAAAACTGTCCCCAAAATGGTGCTTCCTAGACTGTAAGCAATGGTTATTAAAAAAATAATATTGATAATAAAATTGAGAATTTTACTCCAGCTTTAAACGATTGTAGCAGTTGAAATAAGATCTGTCCTTGTGTTTTTGATCTGTGAATTTTTGCAGCCACAACAGCAGATCGCTTCTACAGAATAGACCGTGCTCAGGTATGTGCACAGATACATTGATAATTATAGTTCTTAGACAAGGTAGGCAAAATGAAAAACCAATTAACATGCCATGACTGTTATATTAAAGGGCCCATATACCATAATTTTCTCATGTTTTATTTTTTCTCCTGAAGTCGACACAATATTTGTGTGGTTTTATGTACCAAAAATGGTCAAAAATGGTCATAATTATTTTTTACACAATAATTTTCTAACCTCTCTTCATCCCTTAGAATTAAACAGGCTTTTTTTGTTGCTGTGCCTTCAACTGATAGATGTAAATGTGCTCTATTCTGATTGGCCGTCCTGTATTGTGCCTTATTCAAAAAGTGCTTAGAGCTGAAACTTAAAACTTAATATAAATCGGCTGTGTGAAACTGCGAAGGCTGCATAGGTGTGTGAATGTAAATGAGTTGCTTCTTGTGTTATCACAGAAACAATGAATTCAAAACAGGCTGTTTTTGCAGCTTAGTTTTCATATATGGGTCATATTGACTGGGGAGTGAATGGTTTGTTTTATAACTTTAACACTGTTTACTTATTAGCCCAGAATTCTTTATTTAAAAAGAACAAGGAAAATATGGTTTCCCATAAGCCCTTTAAAACCTCTTAATTTTTTCAATTTATTTTTCAGTTTGAATCAGGCCAGCACCTCTTTACGTTGTGTTGCTTTTGAGTGGGATTTTTATTATACACATAGTAAATACCTACAAGTCACAAATAAATTCTGTCACAGTAGACTATAAAGAAGCGTTTATTTTCTGTGCTGTTTTGCCCTAAAATGTTTGCGTCTTCCACGTCGTTGATTCCAGGAACATCTGAATTACGTGACTGAGATCTCCCAGGATGAGCTTTTTATCCTGGACCCAGAGCTGGTCACTAAGGAGACCGTGGGCACATCTCCGGGAATGCCGGGAATGGTGGAGGCAGTGGGAGAAAGCTCCAGCAGCTCTGACCAGTTTGCCTTCCCAGCGTGCTCTCCTGCCCCCTCTCCACTGAGCAGGTGAAATGAGAGTGAAAGCAACACTAGTGGTACAATTAGAATTCAGTGCATGCAACACATAAACAAAGAAAGCATAGATTTCGAATGACAGACATTATTAACAGTGTTGCTATGGTACTTCTGAATGTGAGATCAAATTCAGTCATGCAAAACGCTTTGGGGTGGTTTGTGCTTTTTTGTCAGTTTTTTAAATTGCGCTAAATTACTGTCAGTGGGGATTCCTCACTGAAAATCTGTCTGGAAAACTGCTGTCTGGTAGATCAAGTCTTGTGCTTGTTTGCTTAATAATAATAATAATAATAATAATAGATAACCTTTCATACATATAGTGAAGTTTTTAAATACAAAGTTTAAAAAAAGTAAATCAGGAACACAAATGATAAAATAACACTAAAGAGAAATAAAAGAAAGTAAAATAAAGTAGAAGGCAAATGAAGAGAGATTCAGGGACTTTCCTAGGGACTAATTTCCAGCCGAACAGTCGTTAAGTAGAAGTTATTCCTTTTTCATCAGGAAAAAAGCTAGAAAACATAATTTTAGCAGAGAATACACAGAGAAGCCGCAACAGCTAAATAATATTTCTAATTGATCAGTATTTACTGTGTTTTACACTTTGCCTTTATTACATCTTCCATTCTTTTCAAAAGACTTGATTTTAGTTTTTCAACAAAATCTGCAGGGATATTTTTCCACATCTCTAAAGTTGAGTCTCAGAATTTCTGCTTCTCGCAGTCCATTTAATCCCAAACATATTCAGTGATGTGAAAATGTGACTTGCAACTTTTCTTCTTTTTTCTAATTGTCTTTTCTCAGTAAGGGCTCCTTAACAGCTACACGTCCTTTAAGACTTATAGTGTTATTTCCTTCTCACAGTAGAAGGATGGACAGAAACACCTGTGGATTTTTGAGTGGAGCTTGATTTTCTCCTCTCTCTCAGAGATGAAAGCTTTAAGTGCTGTTTATCTGATGGTTTTAGTGGTCTACCAGCTGTTGCACGGTTGATAGGTCTCCCATTATCTTTTTATCTTTAGATCATTATTTGAATTTCAGTTTTGTAAACTTATTTATGTTTATATTTGTCTTTCTCATTCATTATGCAGTTTTATATCTAATCTTCTCAGAAATAGTTCCTGAAAACTGGATAACTTGTACTTTAAATAAAAAAAATGATGGGTAGTAGTAGCTCAGATTGATTTTACTATTAGTTTAAAAAAAAAGTAGAAACTTTCAAGACAGAAATAAAAAAAAAATGAAGTAGAACTAAATAGAAGGCAAATATAGAGGTACATTAAGAAGCTCAACTAAAAAGACATTTTCAGATGTTTCTTAAAGTGTGTACTGAACTTGGCTGCCTAATTGTGTACAGTGTTAGAAATTCAGCAGGTAGAGTCAGGAGACTGGGCCTTCAGGTTCTGAGTTTAATGTCACCAGTCCAGTGAATACATAGTCTGACATGGTTTAAGTAGAGATGCTGGGGGAGGGAGGGGAAGTAGGTGAAGTAGAAAGGATCAGAAGATCACAACTTTGGGACAACACAGCTGACACAACAAAAGGACAACATATTTTGAAGCATAGAAGAAAGCGCATGCGAAAGGACACACTTCCTCTCAAAGGTAGCGGATCAATGAGAGCTTTATTTATCAGTAGTATTAGCATTAGTAGACCAAGTTGCACAGGAATAAATTGTGCTACCTTATGTAAGAGTACTAGCTTATTTCTTTAGCCTGGACATGAACTAATGCAGGACAGTGTACATATGCAGGGTAAAGGTGGTGCATTAGCTAATGTGATGCTTTTCATTAGTTTGTTTTCTAGCCCAGTCCTTCCAAACGTATGTCACAAACAGCAGACATACATATGACCCAGTCAGGAGTGCTGTCCGTTGGCTGGTTCATTCTGCCTCTTGCCACCCAGTATAATTCTGTCTCGACACATATGGCGTCTGCCCCTCCCCTGCATAGAGTGTTTGTGTTCCCTTAATAGCTCATCACCCATCTGCCAGACCTATTTGCTCTTCCATTACTATTGTTTTGTTACTGTAAATGAAATGGCCCCACCCCCTCCATTAAATCCTCCATTATAGACACTCATTACAGAGCAGTAAAGATATCACCAGTGCCGTTAAGCTCTCTATTGTTCTCTGCTACTGCAGGGTTAATGAGGAACAGGCTGCAGGTCCGAGAAAGCGAATGTCGTGCGATGGAACCAACGCAGGAGGACAGACGGATGGAGTGCTATCTATAAATAAAGGCCTTTGCAGGTGAGAGTTTAGGTCAAAGTGTATAAACAGGAAGTGACACTCCGGCCTATATAAATGCCTGTTAATGAGAAGTGCTCAGAGAGAGTGTGCTGTTTTGACTCTAGGCACAAAGAGAAATTTGATCATGAACCAGAACACTGCAGGTTCAGGGCTGCTGCCAGAACTGAGATCGCACATTTGTTTTTTTCACTTGAAAAACAGAAAAATGTTCCGACCTGAATGCAAAAACAAATGTTAAACAAAGAAGCTTGTGCTTGAACAAATATTTTCCTTGGACTCTTTTCCCTCCATCTCCATGTTACTTGAAAGCAGAGGGTCAAACACTTTGAATTTCACTCTAGCTCCATTGCACTGCTGTACTTGTCACATATCACTGACATACAGTAATGTTCAAAGACTTGGAATCACTGTTTTCATTAATATACGACCGGTTTTGTTGCAGATCCATGCATGAAATAATTCGAATAGTATGCTACTCCTCTACAACTCAGTACATTCCAAATAATTAGAGAGAAGCTGTAGAAATGAAGACATTTTAGAAGTGTCCACTGTTCTGAACAGTGTAGGGGTAATTATTTAAAAAACATCATTCATTACAAATTGCTCATTACTTTTCTTAAGTTGTAATAGAATTACTTTGATTACATTACTGATTACTCCCTGGAAAAAGTCATCTCACTACTCATTGACTGAAAGTGCGATCTGTTTTGGTTTGGGCTCTGCGTTTTTCAGCACAGTGATCACTGTACATCAGTCTCACTTTAGTTTGATTAGATGCTTTGACAGATTGTTCAGCACTTCCTGCACTTACGCTGGCTAGTTATATTCATGTAACTCGTACAAGTAGCACACGTACATGCAAATTACATACACATGGGCACAGATAATCTATATAGAGGAAACATCATGCATAATTAATATTATTCTCTTGGGAACAAATTTTTAAAAAAATCTTATTAAGTTAGTACCTTTGTGATTACAATGATTCAAACTGTAAAATGCATTACACCACTTTGTTGTAGGAGAAAGTAATCACATTACCGTAATGTGCTACTTTGTACCACATTACCCTGAACACTGGTCCATAATGATAAACAGAGCTTGATGATTCTATAATAATTGAGCAAACTGAAGAACAGTAAGAATGAAGTTATAATAGAATTAAGATCCAGAATGAAATTTGGTGATCAGATACTTACTTTTTCCAAAAATGTGAAATATTGAAAAGAAAAAACTTCTAACAACTAACTTACAGTATTTCAATCTACATTGTATAAGTTATTACTAAATAAGACAACAATTATTAATATGATTCAAAACTTTTGAATGCTAGTGCGCACCCCCGCCCCAACACACACACACACATGCTTTGAATATTTGAAAATGAATGCTGAAGTACTGAATTCTTCCTCTATCTGCCTTCTGAACTCTTAGGTCAGATGATGCTGTCTGGAATGCAGCTGATAAAGGTATAATCACACAGTTCTGAAAATCATACAGAGATTTTAAAATGCTGTGTTTCTACAGGTGCCTGGTGGGGTCATCTCAGGCCGAATGTTCTTACAAATTACAGAACAGGTTTTTTCTATTATTCTACAATCTCTGGGTCTTTATTTGACATGTTGGTAAAGTGTAAAGAGAAATGATGCTCTTAGCCTGTAGAAACAAAGAATGACTCACAGCTCTAGTTGTAAAGTATTAAACAAATGTCTCTGGCTAGATTTTGTTTACCTTATTTGATTGCTACAGATGTCCAGTCAAACAGATCAATGACCAATTACTGTGAAGAATCACAATGTGCTTGCAAGTTCTGGGCCGTTTTGTTTCGAGTTGTAATTGCAGTGGTGGAAATATCACTTAGGAGAATACAAGGTGCTCTAAAACTAAACAGCCTTCATTTATTTATTCATTTATTCATTTCTTTTTTATATAGAGACTAAGATACTAATTGAAAGTGTGAAGTCTGGAAACTTTGAAAAGGTATGAAATTTCTTTATAAACCTAGCATAAACGTCTCTATGATTACTTGTGAGATTTTGCTGTGTTTTTGATGTGACTAAATTTTTCACTGATACCTTTATTTGTGCAGCTAGTGCAACTACACAAGGATGGGGCCAGTCTTGAAGTGTATGATGCGCTGGGCTGTACTCCACTCCATTACGCTGTAGATGTGGGCAGCAAAGAAATGGTGAAATACATCATAGAGAATGGTGTGTCACTCAGTAGTTACTCAAACTTGAATTAGTGCTGTCAGTGTGAGAAGTTCTCACTAAGTTCTTTTTTTCATTCCCATGTTATGCTGAGCAGCTCCACCAAGTATACTGGACGCAGTGGAAAAAGAGACGTAAGTAGAACAGTGTGGTCTTGAAACCGGCCCCCCAGATGGCCCACATTTTTGCTCTAACCTTATGCATTGTGAGTTAAGCTATAGTAAAGGCGTGGACCATCTGGGGGGGCCTAGAGGAATAGTTTAAAGACCACTACTCTAAAATTTGAATGTTGGATGTCGCACACTTCATGTTATAACACATGAAGATTTACTAAAGATGAACTCATGAATAAATATTTACTTATTTTGTACCTTGTTTTTCTGTTCCACTCAAGTTAAGCTGTTTTAAATTAAGGCTTGTGTTGTGTACTCTCCCCAGTGGTGAGACGGCTCTGCATAAGGCTGCATCTTTGGGCCACAGGACAATCTGTGGTTATTTGGTGGACGCGGGAGCTTCCCTCATAAAAACTGACCTACAGGTGAGACCCACAGCCTGTTCGTTTCCCCTTCTGCTTCTAGAACAGCACTAACACCATCTTTTCGCTCGCCTCAGGGTGACACTCCCAAGGCACACGCAGAGAGAGGTCAAGACTGGGAGCTGGCCGAGTATCTGGAAAACCATCAGCACCGCCAGCTGATCCAGCGGGATGACCAGGAGACAGCAGTGTAACCGACCGCCACTTCCTCTGGAAACCTTTCTCAGCATGGCTGAATGACAGCACTGGGACAGCGTGTTAGCAGAGAAAGAGCCCGTCTTTTTTCTCTCTTGATTGTAATGCCAAATCATTTATCATTTTTGACGTCCTATGTCAGAATGCATGAATGTGCTTCTCGTGCAGTTGTGTCGGGGATTGTTTTGAGCTACATGCTGCCTGCTCCTTAGGACATAATGCGCAAAACCTTTTGCACTTCAGGGCTAGAATAACTGTGTGTATGACTGTGGCTCTTTAACCTTATAAAGCAAACCGCTTAAACCTCAGAATATTTTTAAGAGAAGGGAATAAATTGAGTGAAGGAGTTTTTTTTTTCTAATGGAAGTAATCCTGCTTTTGACTTAATTTGCTCTTATAATCAAAGTATTGTATGATTGCCAGATTCAGAGATGTTGATGATCCACTTGACTTTTGTCAGTTTATTGATAAGTTTTAGTAATATTGATATGTACTTACTACTTGTAGCTTTACTTCATCTGTTAGTCACTTTGGCTGAATTGGACTTTGACAGCCATCTGCATTTAAAGCTACTTCCTTGGCTGTTGCTTTTGGGCTCTTTCTGTCTTAATTTTTTGTTGCGTTTAACAGAATTATAAGCATGCTTGTGTACATCACGTCAAGTAACAATGTTAATTACTGTCTCTCTTTTTTCTTGATTCTGATCTGGTCTCTGTACTAGCCTCTTTGAACAGATTGCTCCCTTAGAAATTCTCTAGATATATTTTGTTTTCTAGAGTTATTATAACATATAGACTATTACATATTTCCATATTATACAAGCTCGAAAGTGCTGTGGGGCCAAAATATCGGGTCGTTTTTTCTGTACGGACACCCAAAGATGGTGTGACCATTCCTGTCTGTCAAGGCCATTGAGGTATGTTGTTGTAGATGTTGAGATTGTTATTCAAACAGATTAGTAAGCAGTTGCTGTGGTGGGGTGGAGGGTTGGGGTGTAACAAAGAATAAGAAATATTAAAAATATGTCTCAAATATCTTCAGTTTTCTCAAATGTCTTGAATTTTCTCTAATGTCTTAACTTGTCCTTTTTGTGCAGAAGCTCACACTCTCATTCATTTAAAGAGTAAAATCTGACATACTTCAGCGAGTCTGTTATGCTTACACATTTTCATTGTTAGTGAATGTCCTAGAGTGCTAGATAAGATTATTTTACAAAGGACATTGACTGGTTGGGTTCTGCATTCTAATTCAGAATTTATCATTTTTTAATGCAGTTTGCCATCATTGCCATAACCTTGTTTTTTAATGTGCTGTCAGGATAGAGTTATAGTGTGCATTGTCAATGCTCTGTTTTGAGTTGCTGTGCAATTCAAGTATAGATAGTATGTCTGTATATGTATATATATCCATATACACATACAAATTTGTGAATAACTTTACCATTCCCATATCCTATCCAAGCATTTGTATCACATTATTGACTTAAATAAGCATATATATATATATATATATATATAATGAGAAAGACTTAAAGACTTTGTTAGGAATTCAGGTTTATTAGTTGTATATTTGTTGTTTGGGCTGGTTTGTTACTGTCTACTTGTAAAAAAAATTAATAAAATTCTTAAATTTCAATTTTTTTTCGTTTGATTATTGCTGTATTTATTAATTTTTTAATTATAATTTTACACCAAGCTATTCTACAGGGGGCTGAGCTTGAACCACTTGGCATAATATTTATGTTACCCAATACATAGTATATATAACATACTAATACTAGATGTATATCATCCAATAATCATAGCATGCATTGCCTCTCAACACAACAAATAGGCATAAGTGGCCTCTTTGGTAAGGTTTAATTAGCTTTTTAGCAATACATTATAGGATTGTGGCGAGATACTGCAGACGTTCATGACTGATATACAAGATTCGTATTTAATTGCCAGTGCATGCATGAATGTGCAGGCTGTCACTTCAGCGTGTATTAGAGCACATATGTCACCTGCTGCCACTAGAGAAAATACATAGAGAGAATACTGAGTTCAAACCTAAGCACTATGACAAGATCAGGCAGCTCTACACGTAAACTCTGTGTCACGTGCAGTAATGGTCTCACTGTGGGGTGCGTTTAAATGCTGTCCAGTGCGACCAGCTCAAACTAGTTCTTAGAAAAACAAAGACTAGACGAGCGGAGGCGTCGTTTTGGTTTCCCACCGCTTTTGTGGACAAGTCCCGCCCTCCTGCGCTGGGATTGGCTGGTGATTCAGTTCCACAAGCCGTGCGGACTGCTGCGGTGAGTTTGAACCCCCAGCCAATCACAGCGCATGAGGGCGGGGCTTGTCTGAAAACGGGTGGGGAAAAAAGGACGCGAAACGGAGGGGGGAGCTGTCGCTCGGAAAGCAGGACAGACTCAGATCTATCTGGCGGTGAAGGACCTCTCCCTCAGAGACAAGGCAGGTAGGATCATGCATCTGTATTATCAGACATTTGTTTATTTATTTATTTTAAATATGACCTGTTTCAATCGAAATCCTCCTGGGGCTGAACAGCATCCCCACTTCGCTTTCTTCGTGTTCAGACAGTTGTAACTGCTCGCTCTTGTTATCAGTTCCATTTACTATCTGTGGTGTAGACTTGCTCTGCCCTCTCCGTTATTCTGAGGCGTTTTCATTGTTGTGTGTGCTGGAGTTCAGAAAAGAGAGCTTATATTACATTAGATCAAATATCAGAGCAGTGGTCAGGTGTGATTAGTCAATGGCTCCTCATTGTTAAAAAGCGTTAAACTGGACTGGCAGTGGTGACAGGAATTTAGAAAAAAAAGAAGAAAAACAGCTAAATGTGTAGCTCATAGATTACTATAACAACAATGACCAAGCGTTCAAAAAAAATCCCAAAGATGTGCCACTGACAGTGACAGCGGCTTTATTGTCTGTTTCGGGGCCTTGGCTTAAGACCTTCACTGCAGCTCTGCCTTTTTGAAGTGTGCAGTGTGCGCCCTGCTCTGCTCTGCTCTGTGTGGGGGGGGCTCTCAGGGGCAGGAGGGTACTTCAGTGATGGAGATGTTGCCCTCTCGAGTGCCAGAGCAGTTGTTTGTGCCAGCTCTGCTGACCCGCTTCTTGAGCTTATTGCAGACTGGGGGGGATGATTGCCTTGCTCAGAGCCCCCGTCTGTTTTTTTTTCTTCCCATGGCATCAGCTATGGCTGTTAATGGAAATGAAGAACATAGCTGTCAAAAAGCTGCTCAGAGCCCTGCTTTAAGGAGCAGACCTCATCAAAACGTGTTCGCCTGTGAACTCTGCGCTCTGTGAGGAAGTTCTCAGAGTGTCCAGGCCTTGCATTTTCAACCAAAGGCAGGGCTCCCCGTGTCCCCTCTCTCTCTCGCCCGCTCTTCCACAGAGCTGTTTTTGTCCTCCCATGCAAATAAGCTTACATTCAGCAGGCCTGCCGGGAGACACAGCATGGGGTCTGTGTTCAGGGCTCTTTTAAAAAGGGAAGGAAAACAGGCGAGAGCTGCTTTTGTTTGGAGCCACTGAATCGGGCTCCTCTAAGGCTGGGCTGGAGACCTTTGAGCGCTTTGGCCCCTCTCTCTCTCTCTCTCTCTCTCTCTCTCTCTCTCTCTCTCTCTCTCTCTGTCTCTCTCTCTCTCTCTCTCTCTCTCTCTCTCTCTCTCTCTCTCTCTCTCTCTCTCTCTCTGACCCAGGCTGAGGAAGAAGGAAGGAAAGGGGAGGGCACCCCTGCAGAGCTTCTGCCTCTATTCCCACAAAAAGCCCCTCTCTACATTTATGAGGCGGTGAAGAATGGCAGCCGTGCTGCAGGCTGCAGCAGTGAAAGAGGGACTGCTTTTAATGGAGGGATGAGGATAATGAAAAGGAGAAGTGGTGTGTGTACGTGTGTGTGTGTGATAGCCGGGAGGACCGAGAGGGGCGAAAATAGAGAGGGGCACTTTAAATGGACCACTCAGTATAATGCTGGCTGTTAGGTTTGGAGTGAGTCAAACGCTTGTGTAGAAGATAAATCTTTATCATGAGGTCTGTTTAGGGTTTGCTTAGATCCCCCCTTTTGGCATGTTTAAATAGTGAATTTTTCTACATTTCTACATAATTCAGTGATAGAGATGTAAATAAAGTCATTCAGTGTGACTTGATATGGAATGGTTTGTTGTAGAGAAACTTACAGAATCAGATTTGTTTACAGTGGTGGAGAAACTTATCTCTAACTATCATACCCCTGCATCAGGCAGCATATAGATAATCATTTCCTGTAATAACTTACTATGATTAGGGAGCTTTCAGAGGCATTAAACTCTTCAGATATCTGGTTCCCATCACCACTCTGAACATTCTGACTCAGTACATAATCAATTTATTCATCATTATGCAGAAATTTTACACAATCTGTGAAATCATCTTTTAATGTGATGTGAAATGCCCCAGTTCAGTACAAATGCAACTGAATGTAATTCAGAAAGAGAAGCAAATGAACCACTGCTTACAGACCGGAGAGTTTTTGATCCATGTCTAGCTGAGATTAGTATTTTGTTAATGTATTATGTCTTTATAACTAGTCATGTAACAGCAGCAAAACCAAGATGGGGGCTTAAAGACGCCATTTAAAAGCCACTGAAAGATACACATCATGTCACTGGGCCTTCCTGTGCTCTAGTGCTGCTCTGATTGGCTTTTATGGCTGTTGAGTGAACTGTGTTCATGTTTACTCAAAAGATCCGCTTACATCAACAAATTGCGCTCCTGTGTGATACTGAGCTGCCTTTTACCCATTCTGTCTTTTTTTATCATTATAATTTATTGGAAGAGCCTCAAGCAACAGTATGATTAAACCGGTGGTAGGACTTAATTATTTATTAGTAATTCGTAATTATAGACTGCTATTTAATCAAGCATTACTCTTGAAGTCATGCGTCTTACTAATGCCTGCAACGTCACCCGTTCCCATGGAGTGTGCTCATAGCTAAAGATGTCACCAGGTATCAGTACTAGGCCAATATCAGCAGAAAATCCTGAATGAGATATCAAATGGAAAAAATACTGAATCTGATCCAATGCTGTAACAAATCTGTTCTGAAATAGCACACACTCACATTGTGTGATGTGATGTTAGCTGTGTGTTCCTTCCTGTGGGGTAGTAGAGTGTTTCAGTAGTTTGAGTATGATAGTCTACTTTAAGATGATCATCTACAAGCTGCAGTATGTAAGACTCTTTTGTTAAAATTGAAACAAGTAGCATTAGTCTCAGGAGACAAAGTCGCCCTGTAAAGTTGCATTAGTCTCACACTCCCATACTCCGTCAAAAAGGTTTGACTCAATGTTTAGATCACAAATGCAAAATCAACATTATACTGATGAAGATATGACCATAGATAATTCATTCACACACTCAGAAGACACATCCTCCACCAGGTTTTGGCTGAGTTTTCATTCTATACTCTTTCAACATGCTCGCAATCATCAAATTCATCTCCTTGGGGGAGGGTTCTGAAGCACAACTGTTGTTACAGAATGTTTTTCTGCACATTGCATGCAATAACACATTTCCACCAGAGAGGACTCCAAATCCCTAAAACTTAGTGTAGCTTTCCGTACTTACAAATTCCATCATTAGTATCTGAAAAGTTTAGCTGATATTGTTGATATTGGTTCCAAAGTTCTCCGGGATGCCCCCCGTCATCACATGGATGTGTTAATTTCTACCACCAGCACACTTGATTTAACATAATAAAAGATTAATTAATAAAACCAGGTACTGGACTACAAATGATACTGGGCTTTTTTTGAGGAGAGGTTTGGAAATAAACAAATACTCTTACATATATAAAATTCATTACTTATTGTGTTAATGCTATTTGTGTTTTAATATCAGTGTTTTTAGATTAATGTGGCTTTTTAAATTTAATTTTCTCAGGTGCCTTAGACTTTTGTGCAGTATTATATATTATAATGCATCTGTTTTACCGATGGCTCATGTGTATAGTTTCTCAGCGGATGATGTTGACTGCTCTTTATAGGATGAGGAGTGTATTCTCAACTACGATTGTGCTGCTGGTGGTTCTGACAATCACTGCTGAAGCCATAAAGAGAAAAGGTCAGCTTATTCTGCAGGCTTAATATATATTATGATTTTAATATTATTAGCAGTAATATAATATTTACCATACTTCCTTTGTTTATTGCTACCAATAATGTAACAGTGATGTACTTACAAATCTATACACTATATACTATTTGAAATTTATGTTGCCACAGAGAAAGGAAAGGAGGCAAAAGCAGAACCAGAATGCTCTGAGTGGAAGTTTGGGAAATGTGTGCCAAACAGCGGAGATTGTGGGGTGGGAGTTCGAGAGGCCACCTGCAATGAGCAGTCTAAGAAACACAAGTGTAAAGTGCCATGCAACTGGAAGAAGGACTTTGGTGGTAAGAGAGATGATCCTTTTTTAAAGCTTTTTCAAGGGATGACTCATATAAGTGCGATAATGCATTGATCTGAGGATCAGAATTGTGATAACTGCTTATTTTTGGAATGTTCTCATCACTTATAATCTTTAGCAATAATATTATATGACAATAAAATATGTCATATGAATTCACGTCACATTTCAGATTCCATGAATCGGTTGCATTAAATCACCATACTGACAGATCACTGAATCAGATTTACAACGACACTTTTAAACACATTTTTTATGTCTCTTTAGCTGATTGCAAGTACAAGTTTGGCCGCTGGGCAGAGTGCGACACGGCCAAAGGCACTCGGAGCAGATCCGGAACACTGAAGAAAGCTCTGTTCAACGCCGACTGCCAGACGACCATTAAGGTGTCCAAACCTTGCACTCCAAAGACGCCCAAAGCCAAGGGCCCGGAGAAGAAGGGAAAGAAAGGGAAAGAAAACTAAGTGTTGCTGGCCACCCTGCTCCCTCCAAATCCTCAATGGAACATCCCCATGAACCACTCCTTAACACTCAGTACGGTGCGTGTAGTGCTGCTGAGTGGAGGTTTATCGGCAATGAGGAAAACAAACTGTAACCCTCTCTATATTTTTTTTTCTTTTGTTGGTACAGTCGTGGTTGTTTCCATTGTTGTATTTTTAAATCATTTCTGTAGAACGTTGTTAACTTTATATTACTTCTCGATTAAAGGTGTATGTCTGCATGGACAAAAACAACACCTGATTTTTGGCCCTTGGAAAATGTATCGGCAACAATAGAAAAATGAAAAACGATTTAACACAAAAAAAAAACAGCTTCCACCACAAACAATATGTATGTATGTTACATGAAGTGAAACCTCAAATCTTTAGTATTCTTTGCAATGGTAGACCACCAACAAGTATCTATGCTTACAACATGTCTATGTTTTTAGATTTGTTATTGATGTACAATCAAAATTTCAACATCACTAACTGATTACTTCTTCAGGTCTGTGAATAAACAAGAAACGTATTTTCAATGATATCCTCTCGCTTATTTTTAAACACACACACACACACAGTATAAATTCTTAATTTAGTATAAGTTCTTTGCACTGCGCTGTAAATCCTCTGTACAAAACAGACTCACTCAATATACAATATTGGCAGCTGGCCCAGCCTCGTCTGAATGTCTAAGTAAGCCCTGCGTGAACAGCCTCTTAATGTTTTATTTATTTAGATGACAAGCTTCTGAATCTGTTCCAGTATGATTTTCTTAAGAGAGTGCTACAGAGTGTGTAGCAGCCAGAGGTATACAGAGCGGCATCTGACTGCCTAAACTGCGTCAGGAGCATAGCAGAAGCAGTAGGTCCCATTCACCACCATGATGCTGTGCAGAAACCATTCGTTACCCTCCTCTTCCTTACAGGTCTCCTGACTCTGCTTCTTGACTTCTAAAAATGCTGTCTGGAGGGTTTCTGGACCAGAGCAGAAATGAAGAAGCTGTTAACTGCATTATCCTGCTGGCTCCAACACTCATTTTCAACACCTTTAGTAATGTTCCTCTTTTATATTGTCACTGTTCAAACAAAAATTCATATCTCCAAAAAAGAACCGTTGCAGGGAAAGAAAAACAACATCATTAACTTTCAATCTAAGTTAAAGTAACAAGATTTTATTCTAAGTCATTTTGGACGATTTCTACTGTAAAGACATCTTTCTATGGCATAAAGAGCAGTAGGCATTTTCAAATTATGTTCAATTTTAAAAAATGACAAAATGGAGATACAAGTTTTAGGTCACTGCACTACCCTATCTCCAGTTTGGCACTAAGGACCGTGACATTCTGACACAACGCTCCCCAAACATTCTCATGTTGGAGGTCAAAACATCAAAACAATACACCACTACAAGCACTGCTATCAGCAATGCAGTATTTATAGTATGATAGTGTGCAGTTTTGGAGGCATCTACTGTTCGTTTGGCTTATTGGTTCTGATTCTGGAACTGTTTATGCCTCCAGAACTGCACACTACGATAGATACTACATTGCTGATTCCAGTGCAATAGGTGGTGTATTATTTTGACGTAGTAGTACTTTATTATGTGATGTTAGATGCAGCCAGTATGAATGGAAGAGAATGTTCTAAAACAGTGTGAACTGGGGACAATATTCTAGAACAGCCTAAATGGGGGGGACCATATTCTAGAACAGTCCGAATGGGTGAAAGTATTCTAGAACAGTCTGAATGGGGAACAACATTCTACTACAGTTTGAATGGAGAACAGTATTCTACAACAGTGTTCTAGAAAAGTTTGAATGGAGAATAGTATTGCAGAACCATCTGAATGGAGAAAGGTATTCTACAACAGTCTGAATGGGTGACAATATTCTAGAACACTGAATGGGGAACAGTATTCTACAACAGTCTGAATGGGAACCGTATTCTACATCAGTCTGAATGTGTAACTGTATTCTACATCAGTCTGAATGTGTGATTGTATTCTACAACAGTCTGAATGGGTGACTATTCTACAACAGTGTGAATGTATGACAGTATTCTACAACAGTCTGAATGGGTGACTATTCTACAACAGTCTGAATGGGTGACTATTCTACAACAGTCTGAATGGGTGACTATTCTACAACAGTCTGAATGTATAACTATACTACAACAGTTTGAATGAGTGACAGTATTCTACAACAGCATGCATGTATGACTATTCCACAACAGTGTGAATGTGCGACTGTATTCTGCAATAATCTGAATGTATGACCGTATCCTTCAACAGTCTGAAGGGGTGACAGGATTCCACAACAGTCTGAAGGGGTGACAGGATTCTAGAAGAGTCTGAATGGGGAACATTTTTCTGCAACAGTGTGAATGGAGAACAGTATTCTAGAACGGTCTGAATGGGGAGAAAATTCCAGAGACTAAACAGTCTCACATGAACCAAACTTCTGGGTTTGTTGGTGTCTGCTGGAGAATGTTGTGTCTGCCTGCTCTAGCTTTGTAAGAGAAGCAGTACTTTTTTTCCCCACAAACTGGAATTTCAGGAAGGTCTGCAGCTTTTGGCTTCAGCTTCATCAGTCTGCCCTAGCGGACCAAATGCAGGATGAAGGCAGGGACGGCAGTAGCCAAGGTCAGGGTAGGTTGAAGTGGAGCAGGTTTGTAACACTTGGGGGACTCCAAGAATGACTGGGTTATCATGCTGCACCTACCAATATTCTTGCCATCTGGTTACTGGCACAGCTCAAGAGCAGAGCCTTGCAGATGATTAAAACATGAGCAGAAGGCTCATAACTGAGGGACTGCTAACCACAGAGTCCATCACTAGCCAAAAATCACACAGCCATGGCCTTTTTGGTCTGTAGCCCTTAAATATGAACACAAGGTAGAGGTTCATGAATCAGATCTAAATGAGGAGATCAGGCAGGCCAAGCTCAAGAGGTTCAATTTATAGGTGATTTACAGGTAGTACCAGGATGTTGCTTGGAACTATGACAAAGCTGACAAAGTCAGTCAGCAGGATGATAACCTCCTCCATGGTGTCAACACAACTGTGTCTTCTCTATGTGGAACTTGCCTCTTCAGCACAGAGCAGGTGGAGCTGAACATAGAGCAGCTGCTACATTCAGCTGCAACTCTAAAATGCAAAAACCTAAGCTTTAGACTTGCAAGGGTTACAGAGTGCAACACCTACATTCACACAGCACCATTTCATCCAAGCTTTCACTCAAATGCTAACACTGTAGGGGTGTACCGATACACAAAATTCAGGATTTGATTTGAAACGATACAGTGGTGTCTCAATTCGATACATCTTTCAATACTGTCAGAATGAACTGAATGTGCCTTAAGTTAATATTTCTATTTCCAGTTCATTGCAGCTTTCAACATTATAAAAGTACAATATTTAAAACAAGCTGTTTTTTCTGTTTGAAGAATAATGATTTTTGGGTGTTGAGGAAGAGAGCCTGAAAATAATGCTGCATTCTATCAACTGTTAACTCCCATGGCGTCAAAATAAACAGCAACAAAATACAACTGGCATACTTTCAATATTCCCATTTTATTAAATCTCTTTTAACCATCATCATAACACTGGATCTTTGGTGTCCCACAGAACTTTGTTAAACAAACACCTAACCCCTATATTAGCTAATAAAAGAATTAACTTCACACTTCTTTACTTGATAAAAGAATCTCCTCGCATTTGAGGAAAAGGGGAATTTTAAGTTGTGTTTTTTTGTTTTTGTGCCACCTTTATCATGCCTTTAATTTCTTCAGCACTGACCCAGCAGTGAAGACATTAAAACTGGCAGAGAGTCAGTAATGCATATCTGTCACTTTACATTGTGTTTTACATTGCTGGTATCTTCTCTAATGTCATATGCTTCAGTTCACCAATATGTACATGAGCTTCTCAAGAAAGCCTAAAACACTAAAACAAACCCTAGAGACACACAAGACATCTCAAACTCAAAGTGTACTGCATGGTCTGAAATAGGCAAATTATAAAGTGAAAAAGTAACCCTAATGAACTGATCTCTATGACTAGATTTAACACCGAGAGAACAGAGGATACAGTCACATATGGAAAGTGAATGATACAATTTGCTGAATAACTATTTTGTCCCTGTGTCCTCGTCACATATTGCTCTATTTCAGTTCTCAGATCAGTAACAGTGTTTGGGGAAACAAAAATACAGAAATTCAATCAAAAGCTTTTCTTCGACGACTGTACCAGGCTAACCTAATAACGTGGAAAATAAATAAACAAACAGCACCAACAATGAATTTTTAGTTCTACTAACATTTTAAACAATTGCAATCAAAACCACTCAAAGCTTAAAAGGCATATAGGCTTGACAGTCAAGTCACAAATAATTTCTCAACAACTCAATGCTCTCACTCACTCACTCACTCACACTCCATATGAAAATGTGGCGCATGAAATCCAACACTGACCAAATCTCCCATAATGAAAGGCATTTAACAGTGAGAAGGTGAGGGTCCTTCAGCTTTTCTTTATGGTGGCAAAAACTAGGGATACATACTAGTCAGCTAAAAGGGGGACTACTGAAGGGCACATTGTCAGATTTATTTAAACTATTAAAAGAACCACAGGCTCAGTTTTTCAGACACCAAATAAAATCAACTTGTAATGCTTACATGAAGTCCACAGAAGGTCCATATATCTACATCAGACATCTCTGACCAGAACTACATGAACTTCAGAAGCAAGGGGATGCACAGAGCAGACATACTATAATCTATCTAGCTAAAAACAAAAAAAGAGAACATTTTGCGCTTTCAAGTCTTTTTCTTGATTCATCGTTTCATCGTTTGGAGATGCTACACTTACCTGTGATACAACCACTCATGCACAGTAGTTCACGCACGCACAAGCACACGGGCCCTCTTCAGTCATTTTACGCAATGTGTGTGTTTCAGCGCAATAGCTGGTTCAAGGCTGTTTTTCCGGCAAGAATACTTTGCCTCACCCATTAGAGATATTCTACTGTATGTTAATTCAAATTCAAGTATTATTTCTCCTATACCCAGCTTTGTTAAGGGAGATATGTCCCGTCTGTCCTTGTGTGACGACTCTCGTCCCTGCCTGGGTAGTTTGGAGAGAAACCAGGGTGTTTAGTGCAATCAGATACTAGTTGTCACTTTAGGTGTCCTAGGCATGCTGTGACTGGTGGGATCAAGACAGAACTGTTAGTTAGAAATCGCAGGCTGAAAATAGGTGAGCATAAGCAGCATTGTTTCAGGGGAATGGAGCCCAACAAGCAAACCAACCCAGCCATTCCAGATACCCCACTGCAGGCAAAGATTATTGACATGGTGATGGCTTTTGTTTTTTGGGCCTTTTCAACGCTATTAAAACTTACATAAACTTGTAGTTACCTTTACACACCAGTAGTTTGTAAAACTGAAATGCCTTATTTCCAGTTAACAATTAAACCAAAGCAATATTTTTGTCCAAGCCAACGATAAAGTAACATAAAAGCCATCCTTGTAAAAGATTTTGG